GGCCTAGACTGTCTGTTTGAGAAAATAAGAGATCTTGATAGCGAAGTATTTCAACTTCAAGAGGCAAAAGCCCAGCTAAGGGCCCAGGGCCCCGCGGTTTAGAGGGCCCCGCTGTTCAAGGCAAAAAGAGAAAAAAATCAAATTCCAGATGAAAGTTTCACGGTAATCTATCTAGCGGCGCGAGGGCGAACACTGGGCTATCCCTCAACCTTCTGTGTGAAGTTCCACTCGGTGATCGGTCTAGGCTTCTAGACTTTTAGGCCATTCGGAACTGAATAGATTTCGTATGTGATCAGATATTATGTAATTATTCTTGTATTACAGACCGTTTAATTGTGTGTATTTAATAATCTTTTCGTCGCATTACGGCTAGGGGCCAAACGATTTATTCAAGCCTAGGGCCCCGCTCCGGTTAAGCTGGGCTTTGCAACAGGCCCTCAACCATAAAATCAGTTAAGTTAACTCAAACAGACCCGGTAATGCTAACCATTCAGGAAATCAACACCAACACTATCAAAATCATACCAAATGAAACATCAGCAGTAAATCAACAGCAAATTACCAGGGAATACAAACCGGTTATATTAGTACAACAGATAATACTTCAGACAAAAATGTATCCATTATTAATCTCCATTCCCACGATGATAAGAATGTTACAACAGAAACTACCATCCACGCGACCCCATCAACATCACGTGCTAGTACACACATGCTACCAACAACTAGAACCTTAACTGAAGAGAGACAAGGTGGTCTAATGGCCATTGACACCAGTAAACCCAAAGAACCACCCATTGCTATTGGGAGATAAATTGTCAAATGAAACCCAATCCGAGAAAAAACATTCTCCTTATCGGCAGTTTCATTTTACAAAGAGTTAAATTAAATGGGCTAAAATCAAATGTTAAGTACTGTCAATTAAAGGAGCCAAGATTTTTAAAATTGTCAAAAATCTACAGGGCATGGATCTCAGCATGTACGACAAAATTATCATTCAGGCTGGAGGGAACGACATATTAGAGCCACAGTCTTTATCTGATATTATGACATGAAAAGAACAGTGGACACTATTAGAAAGAAAAGACCAACTGCACATATTTTCATCTGTGAGACTTCACGAAGACATGACTGTGCAGGACAAAATATCCATCATAACATTTAATTTTATAACAATCTCCTTCGTGAGTTTTGTGTTCAAAAGGCAGTAACCCTAATTCAATCGGACTACAGACATATTTGGGTATACGATATTCACCTGTCTGACAGAGGTACATCTGCACTACTACATATTTATGAAGAATATGTAGACATTATCAAGGAAAGACGAGACATTAACAATAGCTCCATTAAACCCTGTTTCTTCTGTGGTATTTCGGGTCATACAAAAGGCACGTGCAAAATTGGTACCAAGACTACGTGTTACCAGTGTAATATTGAGGGTCATGAAGCGAATTATTGTAAAGCATTTCATCGGCAATACTGTACAGATAGGTATTAGGATAAAGGCAATGTTTTTGAAGCCGGAAAATCTACGTATATTTCTGATTTAATTTATTATAATAATTTTATGCAATATATGACTAACACCACTAAAATTATTGATTATTCTATTGAACCATTGATTGATAACTTCTACTGTTTGACTAATGTAACTCTTTCAAGTAATAGTACTACAAATAATACTGAAACTTCCTTTGATACTCCTGTTAGTACTGATAATAATAGTCTGATTTTTGAAGATCATACAATTAATAATCCAACAATGCATGAAGGCCATCCAAGCAGTCAGTTTATTGATTCTGATGTAGTCCCCGATTCATTAAAATCCATCGATGATTCATCTGTTTCCACATTAGGGTAAAGGTTTTAAAATAGGGTAAATAGATTTTTCGGTGAAACTGATGAAGTAAGGGATTTAATTTTGCAAGATAATGAAAATTTTAATGTCATGTGCTTCTCTGAAACATTTTTACATTCTGAAATTGACGATAAATTTATTAATATCTTTATTTATAATTTGATCCGGGAAGATCGATTGAGCAAAAGTGGCGGAGGCCTTATCTTATATGTAAATTCAGATCTAAAATATTCAAGAAAACTTGATTATGAACATCAAAATATCGAATCCATTTAGATTCAATTCCATCCAGAATATGGAAAATCATTTTTATTATGTCTTGTATATAGCCCACCTTCTTCGTGTGCAGTTTGGTTGGATGATTTTGAAACTATAAGTGCTGGTCAATCTATTTATGTAATAGGAGATTTTAATATAGATTATTCAACTACTGTTCCAAAACGATGGGAAAACATAATCAATATGCAGGGATTACGTCAATTAATTACTACCCCTACACACTGTTTTTTAAAAATTCTTCTACTGTCATTGACCATCTATACACAAACACACCGGATAATATTGTTGAAATTAAAGTTCCTCAATATGGTATTAGTTACCATTTTCCGATTATTTTTGTCATTGGAAACTGCAAGAGAAAAATCACAAAACACAACCACTTGGAAATTCCATACATAAATTACAAAAACTTTGATGATTCTAATTTTATTAATGATCTCGTTGAAATTCCATTTGAACTAGTCGAATCAATTGATGACCCAAATGCTGCCGTTGATACTTGGTATAACCTTTTTATAGGTTTTATAGATTGACATGCTCCGAAAAAGCGAAAAAGAGTAAAAAGATTCTATCAACCGAAGTGGTTTAATGAGGAAATAAATAAAGCTCGAAAGTTCAGGGACTTCTTTAAAGCCTCCAAGAGGTGTGACGACTATAGAATATGGAGAAATAAACCAAAAATCTCATTACTAATACCAAAAGAAACTTTATCAAGGACTCTATCGTAAATGAAAAGCAATCTAAAAACATATGACATACACAATACACCCAATAATGGCCCTTATCCCAATAGTATTAAATATGGTAAAACAACAGTAAATGATCTAAATGCTATTGCGAGGAATGATTACTTCACCAATTTAACTGACAAGGGGAAACAACGCCGGAAAATCGGTATGAACTTTTACGGCCAATGCAGGGATCGAACACCCGACCTCCAGGCTAGCGAGCCAGCGTCTTACCCACTTAGCCACGTGATTTCCCTCTAGAGTGCAAACAAAAGATATCAGATTATGTAAATGATAAGATTCCCCCAAATAACAACTTTTCTATTACTACCACAGAGGTATTAAAACATTTATTGAGTTTAAATCGTAACAAAGTCATTATGTGTGATGGTATTGGACCCAAAATTTTAAAATTGTCAGCGTATACAATTTGTAGCAGTTTGAAATTGGGAAGCACAGATGTCTAAAAAAAAACTTTCATCAAAAGTATTTCTCCTAAATAAGATAAAAGATCATTTACCTTACGGACAAGAATTTCGTTTTATAATAGTTACATACTACCAATATTTGACTATTGCTCAATTATTTGGGGGAATGCTACCAAAAGTAGACATTCTTTAAAATTACAAAACAGGGCAGCAACGTACTTTTCATTATTCTGCATGTCTTTTATGGAACAATCTGCCTTTTGATATAAAAATGTGTAAAAAATTTGAAAATTTTAAATTTAAACTGAAAACCCATTTATACTGATCACTGAAGAAACCATAATATTCAACTGATGACAAGCTTATTATTTTTCGTGTATATTTAATTTGCAACTGCATTCTATCTTATTTTGTGTGTAATTATAGTGTTCTTCCTATATTTTATATTATAATATATATGTTTTGTAGTTTAGGAGTGACTTCCCAAACGTCTCACTTTAAAATGCTATTGTATTACAAATTATTTTGAATTTATCCTTACATCACATGTGGGGGGGGGGGGGGGGGGGGTGGATGGCCGAATGGTTAGCACGCGCGCGCTGTATCATACGGTCTGTCATTGAGTCAACTGATGGAGTTTCGATTCCCTGGTTGTACGTGACAAGGAGTAGGGTCGCCTGTCCAACCTCGTGGGTTTTCTCCGGGTCCTCCGGTTTCCTCCCACAGCTAAAGACCCCTACGCGCAAGCGAATTATTGAAATAAAAAATTAAAACATATGTTAGTCCCGAAATGACCTAGTTCTCTCTCTCTCCTCCTCCTCTCTCCCTCTCTCACACACATCACATGTATATATATCTTTGTAGCTTAGGAGCTACAAAGTTGCCTCGTTAAATAAAGTTGTTTTTTTATATTATTATTATTATATATATTATAATTAATGTCATATTAATAATTTAGATACAATTTCAGGTCTAAAGATAGACCTGCAATTGGCAGATTTAGCTCCTGCATAATATATAATATATGTTTAAGTATATACGACTGAATAAGGGACTAACGTATTGAAGAAAGCTTGGAAGAACTGACTGCCAGGTTTACGCACCGTCAACTAGTATTTACCAAACACGGATCTAACAGACTTTCTTACTGAATGACAATTGGTATAACGGGTTATCAAATACAATGAAATGAAATGAAAATGAAATGAAATGGGGTTTAACGTCCTACTTTTCTGCTCCTAACCTGGGCTAATGAAGACGGGCAACGGCGCTACGGCCTACTCTTATATCGAATTCCAACTGCCAAGGGATCTTTTACGTGCACGCCAATGTGTACACGGGACCTCGGTTTTTCGTCCCATCCGAACGACTAGACAGCTTTCCTTGTCAGCCCCTCCGTCCTGCATCACTGACAAGGGAGAACCACGCCGGAAAATCTGGATGAACTTTCTCGGCCAATGCAGGGATCGAACACCCGACCTTCAGGCTAGCGAGCTAGCGTCTTACCCACTTAGCCACGTGATCCCCCAAATACAATGAAGGTTTAATCAGCCGGTTGTACTAACGTATTGTATAATTAATTCTGCGTCTCCATGCGAATGATAAATATATATTAGAAGTAAAAGATCTGTAAAATAAAAAAATTAATGAACTGAATAGACACCCCCAACAAACCCTTAAATAAATCAAGCCTGTTATACTCACCCTATTATACGTGTAGGTCTACAGAATAAAGTCCACGTTATGTAACTGTGTCACGTTATGCACAAACAAAAAGTAAAGCCAACAGCACACGAACAATTTTCTTCGCTCTGCTGGGGTAATGAGCAAATGTGAAATATTCATTATGCAAGAGCTAAATTTGTCTATATCAGGTCTGAAATGTTACCTTAATTATTAATTAGACATTAATTAACTGATCCAGACCATAATCAACTATCGATGACATCGATAGCTTGCAATGTTTATTGGATTAGGTTCCGATTTGCTGTTCGACTTCCATTCATCGAGACTATGCTTTGTTTATCGTACCGACTTTAGTAATGATGATCGAGGCTAGGCCGGAAATTTAATCGCTAAAATCTCGGTTCAGAGTGGATCAATATGACTGAAATTTTCAGCAAATTTCCTTTACGTTATCTAGTTTTTAACTATTATAGTAAGCAATATGACAGCTCTTTATCTCATCTCCCGCAATGTATCTTTAAGCAACCAGGGATGCTGTTGAATGCAAGCGCTTCACAGGCGAAGGGTAAACGTCCACCAGGTAACTAGGTAACACATGATTCAAGTGTATTTCAATAATTCGCTTGAGCGTTGGGGTCTTTAACAATGGGGGGCAAACCGGAGGACCCGGAAAACCGCCATGAAGTTGGAGAGGCGACCCTACTCCTTCCCATGTTCAAGGCTGGGAATCGAAACCACGCTACTTGCCTCAATAACTCAATAAAGCTGACAAGGGAAAACGTATACCCTAATCCATGTCCGGCTTCATTAGTTATCCCAGTCGGTGCAGAACAGTAAGACGTTAAATCCCATTTCATTTCATTTCAGCTATTCGTTGTCGCCGAATGTTAAACCTGTTTTGATATTTGCCAACTCGTCGCCGTCAATAAAAATCAATATCCGTTGTCAGTCGCAATGACGTTCATGCGGGAGATTTTTTTCCAGCAATATACCTCAGAAAATCGCCCGTGTGACCTGGGCTTCAGGCGTTATGTCCCATTTGTCTTGTGACCTCCTGTAGTTTTAAAATAGCACAGAGTAAGTATTACGTCAATAAAGATAACGCGGAGGTTAGACTGATGTCAACTGAACCTTGCCACATGTAACTTTTCAACTAAATTAGGACGTGGCAACTGATCTGCACGTAAGGAGAATCTTTGGCAGTTGGAATTCGATATACGAGTAGGCCGTAGCGCAGCTGTCCGAGCAATATTCCCGCATTCCACACTGCATGGCGTATATCCATCTTCGTCAACCCGGTAGGAGCAGAAAAGTATGACGTTAAACCCAATTTCATTAACTTATCAATAATCCGGGCATTTTGTAGTACAGTATAGTAAAAATCCCGCACTGCTGAAAAATATGACTCACTGCTTTGTACATCAAGTGGGTGCCATGCAATATACGTCCACCTTTTGCAAGAGATGGACGGAGAACTGGTAAATCGATAGAGCCCACCCTCTCCTTGCCCAAATGCTTCACATCGAATTTGAAAAATACCTGTTAACAATTGCCCGTATCGAGTTCAGAATGTTTTCATCAAGGGGTCGGGGCATGAGAGGGGGGGGGGGGGGCTCCAGAGCACAAGGTTGCGAAGCGTTGAATGTCGATAGGGTTCGTGCTCTGCTTCACTCCAGAGTTGAAAAAAAAACCTACAGCTAAGTGTACACGAGCTGATTATCGATAGAGTTTGTCCTCACATGACACCGATGCTTCATACCAACTTTGAAAAATAAATCTGCAAAAGCCACTAGCCTATATCGCGTTCACAAGGATTTCAAAATAGGGGGCATAACTCCAGAACGGAAGGTCCGGTGCACATCAAAGTCCCACTATTTCGAGATTTTTATTTCAAGTTAAGCCTAAATTAAACCAGAATTGCTAGCTTTGTACATTTTGTTAAAATGCAGGGGCCATAACCTGTTGGTAATTCAAAGAGTGTTTTTTCTCAGTAGTACATATCTTTCCAGTGTTGGTAATTCAGAGAGTGTCTTCTTAGTAGTACAGATGTTTCGTGTGTTGGTAATTCAGAGTGTGTTTTCTCAGTATCTATAAATGTTTCAGGTTTTGGTAATTCAGATGAAATTATATCGTTATTAGATATTCCATTAATGTTTTAGATTCGGAACGTGTTTTTATTTGATCAGTATTTATAAATGTTTCAGTATTTTATCAGTATTTATAAATAGGGATGAGAAAGATATACCGTATAGATGTGTGGCTGATTTACCAGGTCAAATGTCAGTTCTAACAGCATTTCTATTTCCTTTTATCATATGTAATAGTAAGTGCAGGGGGACTGCACCACACAAAATTTACACAAAAACAAATACACAGACAGGACATCATACTCAGGAAAACACAAACATACAGAAAATTCAAAAAAAGTGAATGGATCCGGGGGCTAGCCGTACAGTCCCGGGTCTGTAGTGATACAGACTTCACTCAAATTTGAAAACAATTAGGAATACAGCCCAATGAACCCATTGTGTAATGCCAGCATGAGTCATGATCTGCTATATAGTATATGCTACACCAAATACGAATGTAAGCATATGTAGTAAAATTCAACTATACAAGTAACCACATCGGTGAAATGTATAAAAAAAAAAAGTAGTCTAAACTCTTAAATTGAACAAAGAAACGCTTCAGTATTCAATACATATAGGGTACATGTTCCATCGTCACAAAAAACAAAAACAAAACTGAATAGGAAATGTAGACTGTCTCGAGGGACAGCCGTCTGCTGACTGAGAATGACGTCATATCTTAGAAGGTGATAAAAAAAATCACAATAATAAGGGCGATAATCCAGATAAAATAACGTTAAAAGCTTAAAAAACATAAGTTCTAGCGACTAATCGGAGTTATTAAGTTATGTAATTGTACAATATATAATATATTAATATAATACCCCACACAAGAAATACAAAACAGGTATGTTGAAGAAATCGTACTATGTAAGTGTATTGATAAAGGCATAACATTAAGGGAGGTAATTCAGACAGTGTTAGGTAACTACAGAAAATCTAAAATAAAATTTAAATTGGATCATTATTATCCAGTATGTAGTCGGTTATATACTTACAAGAAATCTCAAACTTGGTATGTTGAAGTAATGGAAGTTTTGAAATTTCTTTTAAAATGCGTAATTGTGTACCGCCTTTGGCAGTGCATTTAAAGTAAAGAGATTTTATTTGGGAGAGAAATAGTTCTTTGTTACATATTGTCAAAAATCGTAATGCCTGTGAATAGAAAACACTATATAGCGTGGTATCTGGCATATTACTATAGATTGACGGGTATTTTACTACTTCAAAACCAAATTTGTCCGTTTTGTCGAAAATACCGACATTAAATTTATTGTTAATTATATTGATGTTAAGGTCAAGAACAGATGCATTTATAGTACCGGAATTTTCTTTATTTAATATTAGTTCAGGAGGATATATTTCATTTTTATATTTGTTGAAATTTCCGTTATCATTGATAGGTGTTATGTCATCAATGTATCGGAAGGTATAATTTAGACTTTTAGCTACTTTGTAATCTGTTTTTCTTTTATGGTCTTGCAAGTCGAATTCGTATTTATATATAAATGTGCGTTTGCCATAAATGGTACTAGTAGATAATTTACTATATGTATTATCATTTCAACTCTTTGTTTATAAGACGTCATTCTTTTGATTTCTTTCAATTTAATCTGATTGGTCTCAATTTCTAATGAATTTTACCAAAAAATATAAACAAACTTTTTTCAAGTTAATGCTAACCGAGATGAACGCATTTTATTACAAAGGCTCGCCACAATTTTGCAACACTATTTGAAAAAATAAATACTTATTTCGACTCTATCTTGCCTTTGCAATTAGTAGGTGAATAAATCCCATAGGTAATAAAATAGTTTATCTTCTGGGGTGGGGGTGGTTTATTTGATGTCTGGATGGTTTTACTACTAATAACTATAGAGTGTTTTCAGGTCGAGCAGAAATGAATGAAATTTTAAAAAATATATTTTAAAAAATCTAAATAATGAATGTAAATGTAATACAGATAGGACGATAACTTTTGTCGTTAGAGCGTTCACATGGTTTAACTAAGAAATATATGGACACTGCCTCTTCATCAATTTTGAATAAGGGTTAATAATAAATTTTAACACTAAATTAATGAATGACAGTATTCCATAAGATCTCTTTTACCAGTTTGGCTTGTGAACAAGACATAGTATACAGTTATCGTTCCAGAGTTATGCCCCCTTTCCCGAAAACCTTGTGCAAGTGATAGAGGCTGTAGTTTTCGACGGATTGTTTTTTTTTAATGTGGTGTGAAGCATCGTGTCCACGAAGGGACGAACCCTATCGATTTTCAACTTTCCGCAACTTTTCGTTAGGGAGTTATGCCCACTTTTCCGAAAACCTTGTGAACGCAATTGTTTTGTTTTTTCTTCAAATGTGGTGTACAGCATAGTGGTCATGAGAGGAAGGAGGCTAAGTACAAAAATAATCTTGCAAAAAAAAAAAAAAAAAAAAAAAATATGGGCCTCGCACAAGAAATGAAATGGGGTTTAACGTCCTATTGTTCTGTTCTGACTTAGCTAAAGAAGACAGGCATACGCCATACAGTGTACTGTGAGGGAATTTATCCCAGATAGCAGCACTACGGCCTACTCGCATATCGAATTCCAACTGTCAATGGTTCCTTTAAGTGCACGCCAATGTGTACACGGGGCCTCGATTTTTTAACCCATCCGAACGACTAGCATCGCACACGATGTTTGCGCCATTGAGCCCGATAGGAATAAATGAAATGAGGTATAACTGCTCACTTTGTTGCACCAGTTTAGAAATGGACCTTGCAGTAACTTCACAATGAATAATATTTTTACAAGATATTTTAATGGTGCTATTTTTTTATTTTGGGGAGCAGTGTATATGATGGAATTGACAATTAATGAATATTGCTTTATTATGGATGCTACAAAAATAGACATTTTTCACCTATGCAAGTAAAAATGAAAAGTAACTGA